ATTTCATTCCCCTTCGGGAATGTAATATACTTTTAACCTAAATTCCTACCATGCCAATCGGATCGGATCTGTGATGGGTGGTTTACCAGGTGCTTTACCTCTAGTCTAATAATGGCTGGAGACGGCTTGAATGGGTAATGAAGAAAAACTTTAATATAAGTTTAACATAACAGCAAATGTACAACATTTCGACAAGGTTTAGTCATCATCAACCTTGTCGAAACGTTGTACATTTGCTGTTATGTTAAACTTATATTAAAGTTTTTCTTCATTACCCATTCAAGCCGTTTCCAGCCATTATTAGTCTCAAAGTGGGTTCCTCGTCATCGAATTCTGTATGGTTGTATTTTGCATGTGTGTTTATAGTGCTCTTTTTGAAATAACATTTCACATATAACAAAAAAAAACAGTATGCTTTGAAAGTTTTAGGATGTATTACAAAAAGGAAAAAGAAGTTAATGCATTTTTCAGTATTTCATTTATTACTTCTGTTTAAAACATATATTACTTGGATCATGATGTAATTAGTTATAGTACTTGCTGTATTAATAATTCTGATGAAATATACCTAGCTACCTAATTAATATATATTTATTTTGAACATGACTGGGAGCTGTAATTTGAATATATTACAAAATGTTAACACAATTATCTAACTTTCAATCTGTAAGATAAACTTCATAGCTTGAAATTTTATCATTATCAGTGCCACATAATTATGAGTCTCATGAGCATCTCCATGGGGCAGTATTAAACTATGAATTGTTGCCTACTAATTGTGGAGGTCTATTAATAATAAGCTCCTGCTATTTAAAAAAAGTTGAAACTTTTACATGAAAAAAAGGAAAAAGTATGTATTCACATGTACTGTATTTAAGGTATCAGTAAAATGCTTCTGCATCAAATAACTAGTAGCAAAATACTACCAGATATAGGTTAACTTTCATCCCTGTAGATACTAATTACTAATTAGTTTTTCTCTTACATTTTATTGCTAAACTGCTATTGTCTTCAGGGAAGTGTGGAAAAGGACTATTTCTGTGTTGGTCGTGGCTTGAATTCAGTCCTGGGTCTTCTTGATGGATGTCTGCTTTGTTATCCATTCAACTGGGGTCTCTCTAATAGAACTTGAATCAGCTTTTCAAGAGGAATATCCAGGTTTTGCTGATTTCTTTGCTAAGTTGACTCAGTAAGGTGAATGTAGAAGGTTTATTCATCTTTCTTTTTCTCATGGGTGGTTCATGTACATTTTATTGTTTTGTCTTGTTCTCTAGCATAATGGGCTGTTGCAGGTAGATCGGTATTACTGACTCTCATATGTATGTTATGCTCCTGAATTTTAACCTTTGCTGGTCTTTTTCTATGTGTTGAAATCCACATTCACAAGGGATGCAGTAAATGGTGTTTTCTCTCTCTGTTGGGTCTTTAGGTGGTTTAGTGTGTAGTGATAGTAATTGTGATCATATTGTGTTTTAGCTTATAAATACTACTCCAACTTTGTTGTTTACATATCCTCTTTATGATTTCAGAGATCTCTGACAAAGAAATGTGGCTGTAGGAATGTAGTTTTCTTCGTATTTGTTAATAGTGTTTATCTTCTTTACCAAGTATTCTGGACATCCACTGTGAACAAGGGCTATAGTGATGTTTTTCTTCCATTTTTGTATCTTCTTTGATGTCACAAATCTTATTCATTCTAGTAATTAGGCAGTGCATGATACTTTTCTTTACAATGTTAGGATGGTTTGATTTATAGTCAAAGTATTTACCTTATCTGTGGGTTTCCTGTAAATTTGTGTGTCATGCAATAAATAAGGGTTTGTTGTGTTTTTTTTTATTGTGAATTGTATTGTGGGGTGTTGTCTGTTCTGGTGTTGATGAATTCTTAAATCTTACCTGTAGTGTGTGTGACCATATTATGATTATATATTATCAACATATTTGAGCCAAATCTTGGGGTATGGAGTAGCTAATTTGAAGGTATTAACTTTGGAATGTTTCATGTAGAGATTACCGAGTGCTAGTGATAGGAGTAAGCGTATGGCTACATCATGTTCTTGTTGATAGTAATTATCTTAATTTTGGAAGTAGGGTGTAAATACATAATGTTGCGAGTTCTTTTATTGTGGAGATTGTCAATTAGGTGCATTCATTAAAAGTTCTATCATTTTCAATCTGTTGGTGGAGTATTTATAGTTTAGTTGATCAGTATGTATTGTGAGGTCATCATGATTACTTTTGTAATCTATACAAAATGGGCTGAGTTCTGAACATGTATTAACCCTATCACTACGGGAATCCTTTTCTGCTCATGTCATGAGGTTTTATTGAGTTACATTCAAAAGTTAATTAGTTAATAAACTACTTTCTTTTCATGGTATATGAATAAACCTGGCATCGTAATGTAGCTCATAAGCCAAATTTTATTGTATATTTTGTAAGTTCGTAATTTTATAGGGCAATATTAAAAATATATATCCTGAGTTTCCCCTAGAATGAGAACTGTGGCATTTGCTCTTTAGATAACCCCTCTTTAATTTATTTACTACCCCTCCAAGGAGTATGATACTTAACGTAAATTACTAATTATAGTGTTGTCATCACTCAGGCAAAGCATAATTTTTATAACCTTCAATCTTATTTGGCTACAGAGCCATAAAATAGAAAATCAGACCCCTCTTGCCACACCCATCTGTCACATCTTCTCTTTCAGAAATTGCCAATAGTTCTCTCTGAAGCTTAATACTATATTATTTATAACCAATAGAAAGCCAGAGTTTTAATCTATCAACTGACATCTTATATTACATTGTTTGCTGTACAGAAAATTGTTTATTTTGCTTCTAGTTCAAACTTTATTCCCATGTGTAACACATCAACGAGCTTAGCTGAATTTGTAATGGTTCTTATCACATAAGTAGAAAGCCAGAAACATTGTGATAGTTATAGGACATTGTCTGCTTTTTCCTTATTATTCTGTGTCCTTTGATGCAGTATTTAATTAAATAGCAAATTATTTAGTGCAGTAGTACCATAAGTATAAAAAAGTTTCTCATTTCTTCCCATCTAAGCATTGGTATGAATTATACCTTGCTTGCTCTGTTCTTTATACCCCATTATATTGCCAATAGCGATTTTAATCTTGTTATTCTCTCCACCTACGTCAATGTGCCCCCCTATACCAGA